TTTTTTTTTTTTTTTTTTTTTTTTTAAATGCAGTATCTTATGAATTAATACTTATTCCTTTATCCCGAATCTACAATAGATTTTTATAGACCTTATGCTATAAGAAATAGACAAATTATAGTCAATTATTCTCCTCGTATTTGACTATAATTGATCAATTTCTTACGGCTTAAAGCTTAAAACATCAATTGTAGATCTATACTTATGACAGCAGCGCTAGCGAATTAGGCTGTAAGAGTAAGAAATGGACTATTCAGTTTAATGTGAGAAGAATAATTGACTGTGAATAATTAATTTCACTCTTACAGCCTAATCCACTACTGTTAATGCCATTATAGACAGTCCATTAGAAACAGACAAGAACTGTCTTATGACTTACGTCTTAAATAAGTGTGAAATAAGGATTAAGTCATAAGACACAATCTTAAAATTATAAGTTAATCTTTCTACTAAGGTCCTTAATGTAACAGGAAGATGCTTCTTATACAATAGGGAATTTTTACTGTTTATCCCAGATATAGTGAACGCTAAAGTCACGATATCTTTTTCTTCACAGCTAATTAAGAAAAGGAAAACTTGACTTTAGCGTTTACCGTATCTGGGATAAATAGTATTACAAAAACTTCTTATTGAGTCGAAAGGTTTAGTCTTAATCGATGAAGTTGGCTAATCAGCGTTAGCCGTACAAGTTGACTATTGGTAAACTTCGCTGATAAAATTTAAGACTGCCGAATACCGATTCTTAGCATAAAGTTATGGCTGTTTTTACGTGAAGCTTTATAGTGCAATCATAAGAAAATCAGAATTTAAAATCTTACCTGTACTTTTGAACTATTTGTTGGCTCCACCGTAGCATTAATACTGTTAAACAATTCGAAAGCGCTGTCAAATAATTCCGACAAAGTCGCAGAATCATTCTTATCTCTTTTTGTTAAAGGGCTTAAGCCCTTTAACAAAAGTTTTTCTGACATTGCTATTGATTGCTATCGGTGATGCGATTTCCGAATCCTATGGTTTTCGCAATTTCGCGTAGACACACTGACACCACCACAGCTGACACAGTAGGTTTGTTCTTTTTCGCTGAACTGGCTGCCTCGGTCATGAATCATGATCAGTGAGCGCTCACGAATCCGCTCCACACAGTTGAGTCTGCTGAACGCGACCATTGGGCGCATTCAGCAGAAAAGAGCGCTACGAGAGCGCTCGCTGTTATTGGTGTATTCTTCTAGATCATCCAATCAGAATTTTAAATCTGGAAGAATATACCAATAACAGCGAGCGCTCTAGTAGCGCTCTTTTCTGCTGAACGTGACCAATAGTATTGTTCGTTTTTTGTCTCTCGAGAACTGCTCAGAGCTCGGAGTCGCTCCGAACAAACCCTTTGTATTTAGATGCTGTAAATACCTTGAAACCAAGACGGCAAAGCGGCTAAGTATGCTTGCCGAGCGATTGAATATAATTGGTTATTACTTATAGATCCAACCAATCATACTCGATCGCTCGGCAAGCATACCTAGCCGCTTTGTCGTCTTGAACTCGCCCGATCTTTGATTGATCAATTCGTAAATTCTTTCTTCTGATTGACCAATGAAGCATTTGCAGCAATGGGTGCATCCAGAAACACGACCGCTCATTGAGCTCTCAATAAGCACTTCCATGATTGGCATATTCCATTAGATCTTGGAAAATAAACCAAATAGTGGTCAAGAGCTCACTGAGCGTTCAGTGATCGGTCGTGTTTCTGGATGCACCCATTTAAATCCAAGTACGCTGGATTCGTTCGGAGTAGAAACCCTTCTAGTTCGGAGCTACTCTGAGCAGTTTCCGAGACACAAAACAAACAATACTAATATATTTATGCTTTTAGTCCATGTATTACACCTCATTTGCGGTGTAAATATTATAAAAAACATCGGTACTTTATCTCATATTACAGACAAATATTTATTCTACAAATATTTCCACGAAAAACATTTTTTATGATTATGTTTTACGAAGGTATGAAATCTGTTAAAAGTAGGATTTTGCAATTTCATTCTGAAAAATGTTGTTGCAAATAAAATAATCTGTTCCTTGCTCACAATGTAGATAATACTTTATGCTGATATTTTATCTTCTATAAGCAGAGGAGATTCGGTAGTAATTATAATTAATAAATTAGAAATTAAGTAAAAAATAAAAATTTAATACCAACTTTTAATTTATTTTAATTATTTTAAATTTTAATTTATTAATTTCTTTCTTTTTAAATTAAAGTTTATTTTTAGTATCTATTATATATATTTCTCTAAATGTCAATATTATTTTCTATATAATCTTAAACAAATTAGTTTAAAAAGAGCTAAAAAATTGTATAATATATCCAAAAATGAATGTGAGATGGGTTTACATTTATTATCATTAGTTTTGTATCATGCTATTACTTTTTCACATGTAATAAGCAAGAAAGAAACAATAGAAACTTTTTATTTATGTAATTATCAAAGAACGTACAGGCGTGATCAGTAGTACAAAGATCAAGAGAACAAGATTACTTACTACATTTTTTAAAATTACATTTCATTTTTCTCTCTGTTATAATATATATAAATATTAAAATATCGAAATGTCTATATAAAAATACTAAATATCAATTTTTTGTACAAGAATAATTTTTGTCATTTCATATAATTTAATAGAATGTTAAATTTATCTGATATACTTTATATTATAATTATTTAAAAAAGTAAATCCATTTTAATATAATACATAAATAATGTTTTTCAAAACTAACTTCGTATTTAACCTTTGATTTAATTCTATCTTAACGTAATTTTAACTCTATTAGTTTTTGTTCAACTCTTTTTAATTGAACTAAATTTAATTATAAGCCATTATTTAATTGAACTAAATTAAATTATGAGCCATTAATTTTAGATTGTATGTATTTAAAAAATTGTTAACTTACCCAACACCTAGCCTAAAAATATGTAGTATGCATTGTGTTGGACCTTTTCAGTTTATCTTTTTATATAGCTACGAAAGCGCATACAATTAGATTTTGTAATTTAGTTCTTGAAACATAATAAGTAAATAAAATTATCTGTACCTTCATTACACTTATGGTGCAGATCAAGTGAAATATCACAATAAATTTTTATTTTATCTCTTTTTTCAATAAGAAATGCTCTATACAACCTTCAGGCGACTTTTCTGATTACGAATGTTGTAATTACATTGAGATTTCGGTTATGGTCAAGGTCTCGCTATAAATGCTTTGAAGCGTTTCATGGATCAATAAGAAAGAGTTTTATAAATTGACCAATTAAAATAGCTTCAAAACATTTGTCGCACTGCGTCAACTGTACCGTTTTTTTCTCGGTATTTTAGTTATAATTTCAGCATAAAGAAATTTGTCTTCAACAGAGTCCATAGTTGATCAAGACAATTGGAATGTGGTTGAGGACGAGGGGAAGGGTTTAAACAGCTCCACGTTATCCATGGTTATCCACGTTGATCGTACGATGTGACGTTCTCATGACGTCACTATCGTCACCGCTACGACACAATGGCGGCCGTAGCCAACTTGAGAGCATTAAATCCGACATTTTTAAACATATGTGATTTGAATAAGATTAAAATCGATTATTTATTATTGTATTTTTAATCAGCTCTTATGACAAGTGTCTCCGCTCTTGATATAAAAGAAACTGTAACATCACTTTAACCTGCTTTTATTAATACTGGAAGGTCGAACCGTTCCCTTTATATTTCGTTCTGGTATTGTGGCAATATTCTCACACATCAAGCCACATCAAGCGCAATCTCAAGATTCTCAAGCAATCTTATGGCAGTGTCAGCGGATAATGTACGTCGTGTTGGTCGTGTTACTCTTGGAATTGTTTAGGATCTAGCAAATATTCACTGTTCAGGAAGTTAGCTGCGTTGTTTGTGGTTCGTAAGTAGAAAGACATCATTAAAACAATTAATTAGTCAATAGAAATAGAAATCTAAATTGATCATGCACAACTGTTTAAGTTTCTAACCTCTTTCATGTTCTGGTGTAATGAATTTCGACAAACCTTTCACCGCGTGTAAAATCTTCACAGATCGTTTAATACAGTCACATAATTTTTATTTTTTTCTGCGATATTAAGATAGATACAACAAAAGTGAACGTACAATAGTGAGACACTAGTGAAAATATGTTCTTTTTTTTAAATATAAATTTTAAGGATGTTTTATTATATTATTTAAGTAATAAAAAAAATATTTAAAAAGACATTTTTTGACAAAAAAATGTTCCTTTAATATATGATAATGTCACAATGTAATAGTTATTATTCTATTAGTCAATGTGTGTGTGAGACATATTTAATATGAATCTAATTTTATTATCTTTTTGTAATGACCAAAAATATAATTTGTATATAGTTTAATAGAATGTTATTTTATTTTTTGAAGATTTCGAATATCATTTCTTTATTTGTTTAATTTATATGAGTACCTATGTATATTTACGTGTGTCACACATTTAGAATTCTTTTAACATTATAACATATAGAATTTTAAATTTAATTTATTGTTTAAAATTTTCAAGATATTTGTTCTTGATTCCTTATTATAATTTTATCTAATAATAAATAATATAATTTATTAAAGCTTAGAGAAAAAGCTTTTTCAAGGACAAAAATAATTCTTTGTATTAGGTTGTTTCAAATTTTCTAACTCAAAATAGTATACATTTAAAAAATTAGCAATTTTACCATTTGATAGAACAAAGTTTCAGTTTTAAAAATCTGATTTCTTAATTGCGGTATGATGATTTTTAACAGAGTTATAAGCAACTAAAATCAAAATGTTCTCCTTTACTTAACTCGTGAATAACTCAGAACAAAAAATCGTAGGAAATTTTTTAAAAACGATTTTATAGGGAAAGCTTCAAGTTTTCACGATAGGTAGTCGAAAATTTTCGTAAATATTTTTTTGAGGGAGCACGTGAAAGACCCATGAAGTAAATAGAAAAATTTTCATCTTTTTCAGCTCGTATATTTTTTTTATATAAAAATTATCAAATTTATACAAACTCAAAAAGTATAGTAATCTTTCGAAAATACAGATTTTAAGTTTTAAAATCCTTTTTTTCTTAATTTTAAATTTCGTTCATTTTTTTGTATGTACAGTTTTGAGTTAGAAAGTTGGAACAAACTTTTCGAACAATTTAATAATAATTAAAATATATGTAAAAAATTTTAAACAGTTTTTTCCTTAGAAAAATATTGATATGTTAATATAAATTTTTTTTCATACATTTATCGATATCAATGAATAAATTAGAACGTAAACTAATCTGTTTATTACATATACATGTACACGTATATACCTACAAATGTGTGTATATGGTAATAAGATACACACACAAACATACATGTTTTCAATTCACTAAGAACTCTAAGTTTAAGAAACTTCTACTTACCGTTTTTTACTGTGATATTTAAAATTCTAATCTCTTACATAATATCGGCGTGCGCATATTATACATGCCACATTTTCATTTACGTAAGCAAGAAATCACAAAAATGCAGCGCGTCAAAAATCAAGATACATGTTTCGTTGCTTTAATTTCGTAGCACATTTGTTATGTAGGTACATAGATATCTGTCGTTAGAAAAATACTTTGTATGCAATGATAGATTCCATTTTTGCAACAGGTTTTTGTTAATAATTAACTCTATACAGAATTTAATAAATAATTAATAATGAATACTAACGTTATCGCATGTGTAAAGCTAGCATCTTACTACTTCGTGGAAACTTATTTAAATTGAGAAATCGAAAATGCAAAATAAGATGCCAGGTTCACACAGCACCAATTTTGTTTAACAAAGAGGTTAAACTAGTTATTTTCTTGTAGGAAAAGGTAATATATAGTTTTAAAAAGAATTCTGACAATTATTTTGATTTTTAACAATCTTTTTCCTCTAAATAGTGGACTTTACAGAAATTAAGATGAAACGCTGTCCTATTTTAAATTCTGATAGTTTTGTGGTCATTTTTGTACAGTTCCGAATGTATTTTAATGTTTTTTGAAGAGTTCTAATTATGTACATTAATTATTCAAAAAACTAACAGATTTTTTAAATGATCAGAAAAGTTTTCGGAAAGCATTAGGATATATTCAGAATTACACAAAAATTTTAAATTTTTAAAGATGGGGTGCTAACTTCACACCGCCACGAAAATTATCATAGAACTGTCAGAACTCTTTGAAATGGGAAAGCCACATATTCTCCACACATATTCTCTGAAAGGCGCCTTTTTCGGGTGATAACAATTATTTAAAAAATAAACAATGTACATGATTAAAACTTCTTTAGAAAACGTTAGAATATATTTTCGGAACTGCATGAGAATTATATCATAAAATCAAACAATGTTTCAATTTTGTTCCCGTAAAGACCACTTTTTAGGAGGAAAAAATTATTTAAAAATCAAAATAACACAATGTCAAGCGTTAAAATTCTCTTTAAAATTATGTATCTTTTCGAATTCTACAAGGAAATATGTCTGGAACTTTAGTTAGCGCTATCTGAATCTGGCGTTTCATTTAGCATTGTTTGCTTTTCAGCTTTAAAGACTGGAATTATTTGTTTAATCGATATAAAACTATATATAGGACTATTGAAAATAAACTCAGAACTCTTAATATTTAATAAGTTTCTCAAGCGAGACGCCCAACTTTACACATACAAGTTAAGTCTAAACAATGTTTGGAATATGGAAATAATGTTAAGGTGTAATTTATTTATTGGAAAAATTATTACAAATGTATTTTAATTAATGATAATAAGAATCGATAACTGTCGGCAATTGTAGTAATTTTTTATGAGTAGTCTTATATTTATCAAAACAATATTAATTTTTATCCTTTATAAACATTTAAAGATTCATGCTAAACTATTATAGGCTTCGTATTCTTATTAGTTATGTTCTTATATTGACGATCTTTAGTATTGAATATTGTTTATCCTTTATCTCCACTAACAATATATGAAAAAAGTATACCTGTTTCTGTTAAATGGAATTATATAAGTAATGGTATACAGAATTTTAAACAATATCTTATTGAAGTTTCAGACGCAATTATCTCCCAAATTATCGTTATTTAAAAAAAAAAATGTTTTAAGTGAAACTTACTTCGTTTTGAGGAGAATACCTTTTAATTTTTTTTTATCTAGGTGGACGTGTCTCTAAAATGTCAAGGTGATCTTATTTTACATGAAATTCATATAGTTTTTTTTTTAGTAATTATTTTTCGATTGGCGGATACTGTGTCGATGACCTTGACTTTGACACACGTTGTCAAGGTCATAACCAAGGGTGTGCAGTTGTTGTAATTCCAATGACCACGTATTATTTTCATAACGTTAACAACGTTGAGTCTTGTAGGTTCATCTAGTGCATTCGATACATCATATACAGTCAATGCAATGATGCAAACACTTTAAAGCGTTTTTTTATTGATCAATTCGTAAAATTCTTTCTTCTAATTAGTCAATCAAACGCTTCGAAGCATTTGTACCAAGATAGAGATAATGAATGAAAAGAACATTAAAATTTGTATTTCTAGTTTATGTATTTGACAGATCCGAAATATACGTATTTAATTATATATAAAAAAACGAAAATTATGATAAATGTAGCGTGTTTTTTTATTATTTGATTCAATTCATTTTTCTTTCTCGGCATTAATTTGAATCATAATTTTTTTCTTAAAGCTATGCTGAATTGCACTTTTTGCGCGTTAAATTGGTTTATCAGATTAAAACATCTTCCTAGCAAACATCAAGTTACATGTAACGTGCATGTAATTTTCGACTCAACAATATAACTGTAATATAACACACGTATTATAACGTGTTATTTCTTCCTCATAGAAAAAAAAGTAATCTGTTTCCTTACGTAGAAAATGATGTCATTATAAAAGATGTAGGTTCCTATTAGAAAAAAAAACAAAGTTAACCTTGAAATGACCTTGAAATCTTACACCAAATAAAAAACAATGAACGTCATAATATTTCCTCCTTGAAATTAAATATGTAACTTTTGTTGAACAATTTTTCTCAATATCGCCGTGTTTCCGAGATAAAAATTTGTAACGCTTTATTTTGAACACTCGGTAAATAATAAAAATGAAAGTTACTTTACCTTTGTTAACTCATAGATCCGCACACGTAGGAATTAGTTCCACTGTCTGTAGCCTTCTGTCGAGTTTCATGTGCTAGCGCCTACCCGCCTTACGCAAGCTATAGAGAGCCTTATTCAGTTTACACACGGTATTCGGTTGCTCGATCATCTTTAATAGGTAACGAGCTCGTCTTGATACATCCGCATCCTTTTCTTGAATTTCGATCCTTTTTAACATTTCGTGCACAAACTCCGACTTCTCTACAAAAAGCTCTGTATCTATTTTTCCATTTAAATAAGCGATGCAGCTGCGATATGTTTAGAGCAAATCTCGTGATTAAAGCCATCAACAGTCAGAAAGATCCGAGACGCTCAACGGAGGTGAAAGTTTCGAAGAAGTCAATACCTTCACGTTGGGCGAACTACGGTGCAGACTTCCGTCGGCAGCATATTTATTCCGTAGCATTGTCCGGTATTTGATTACCTTCCGAAGTCCGCTGGCCTGGTAACGCAAAAGTATCATTTTCGACGAGGCTTTTAATTTCCGAGTATATTGGCATCACGCCATTCCTTCTCCGGCCCGGAAATTGCCCAGTTGAATGGAATCTCATGGGCATTCACTGCAAATTCAGCATCATGCCATTTTTCACTTTCGTCGTCACTTGCGATAGAGATCTTTGATTCGTGAATGTCTGTATCAAATTTGATATGCCTTCGAAATCTCAGAGTAGCCCACGAAAATTCTTTTGACGCCCCTAAGTGCAAATTTGTCCTTGTTTGGTGTTTTGTCAAGAACATATGTTTTGATGCTAAATTTCTATATGTAACATTCGGACGCCTGTATGTCCGTATTTCGTATGGAGTCTTCTTGCCTAGGGTTCTCGTTACACTTCGGTTTCTTATGTGGTTAGCAATGTTGGTCAGCCTCGGTCCAAGAATAGCCAATTATTGCAAAAAAAGGATTTCGGAAGTTCTAACTCGTTCATTATGCAGCGTATTCGATAAATGTTCTCTTTTGCGTGCCGTGACGTTATTCTGCTGGGGTGTATATAGTGTCGACAAATGATGTTGAATTCCGAATTGTTTTAGCATATATGCTTAAACATAGTCCATGACTGCATTACAGAACTCCTTTCTGTTATTCGATTGAAGCGTTTTGATTCTCTTTCCGATTCGCGTCTTAACATAGCTTTTATATTCTAGGAATTGAATACTAACCTCTGATTTGTTCTTCAGGAAATAAACCTCCAGTGACTGTAATCATTCGTGAATCTTAGAATATAATAGGTACAGCCCTGCAATTTCTTTATACACATAGGACTACACAGATCTGTGTGCACGATTTCAAACGGAGAAGTTGCGCATTTTCCACTTTTCGCAAAAAGGAGGTGCATTAGTTCACCAGCAGCACAGGTATTGCAGTCTGGAAGGATGTTGTTTGTCTTAAGCTCAGTGACTATCTAGTTCCTGAGCATGAGATTAGCATATCTCTCTAATTGAGATGTGCAGCCACGAGTCGCTCTTAACGAAGAGTACTTCAACTTGGATCCTCCTTGGATGTGTCATAATGTTTTGTCAACAGTTCTATACGCGTGGAGTTGACAATATTTGTTTTTGCCATAATGGAATATATTCTCGTATATTACTGTGTCGCTATCACGTTGCATATCCTAACGATGATATCTACGTCTCTTTGGAACTTTTGATGGTCGTCCGGTATAAACATTGGACTTTCAATTAACACGTCTTATGTATCGCAATAGAAGAATTTTGTTTTGGTTTCTGTTTTGTGTTTTGATGTTTGTTATACACAAACTGAAGTCATAACCTGTTAGCACAGTAGAATATTAGGAGTATCAGGTGAGAGTGAATTATCCAAGATTTATCGAGCATAATCAAAACTTTTATTAGAAAGCCACTTGTACAAACAATGCTCGGAAAGAGTGACAAAAGCATACGGAAGTTTTTTTGGACTAGAGTCCTATATGTATACGAGAAAAGCGCGTCATGATTTTTAATTGGTGAATATTATATCTTCTTTCGACAGCTGAACTGGTACACATTGTACACAGAGTAGCTTGGGAACTGGTCAACTGGAACAAGTTAAACATGCTGAATATATGCTAAAGGGGTGGTAGTGGGAGTTGAGCGTCGCTTCTCTCATATAGGATGCGTTCCATTAAACGCTCGTGACGCCCGCAAACTCGTTTCACATAACGACCATGTTCTTTGTGATCGCGATCAAAATGTCTACATGACGTCATTAATCGCGACCACATCGAGCTCACGACGCTCATGGTTCGTTCTTGGGTCAACGTGGTCGTTTTGTCGTCTGCTAGCCCGCAGTGCCCTTAAGCTAGTGGAACGGCAAATACCAGGTGTACAAGTATGAAGTGCGGATTTGAGACAACAGATGGTGCACCATTGCAGTGTGTAGTAAAGTCACTGGATTAACAAAGTACCGCGAACTGCCGCCATTTTGGCTCCATGACATAACCGTGGCATATAGCAACCGGGCATTTTCGACGTTTCCTAACCAGTTCATTTACACAAAGTCACAAACGCATATACATACAGTTATAACAGGATCAGGATTGCACTTAATATGTAGGAAGTTACATTAAATGCACTATCTGAACTCTCGACGCCATTTTGGCTTCAAATGCTAATTCTCTCATCGCGGTACTTTGTTAATCTAGTGACTTTAGTGTGTAGTATAAAGATTTGACGTATATGCCATTTTGTTGTGCCATCAACAAGTGTCAAACGCGCATAAGTGATACATTGAAAATGTGTTTGCATAGTATTGTTTTACTGTGTTCAATATGTCGAAATTTGTGCCAAATAAAGAGCATTCGCCGACAGCATTAATTTTTTCTTTTCATTTGAAGGATGTTTACTGTGTTAAACTGTGGTTTTTATCAGTGATGGGATTTTTCCACCCTTATATATATCACGCGAATACCCACGCATAATTCGGAATTTTTCACGATGGTCCAAAACATTTTTTATTTAACACATACTTTCAGAGATAATAGCTTGTAATACTTTACGAGTGGGCCTTTCTATGTATTACTAACAAAGAGAGACTACTCTACTCTTCACTGATTTTGATCAAACTTGCAGCGATATTAGAGAAGCCTATCAAATGTACACCTGTAAAGCCGTTTACGCTAATAGGCCAAAAAATTTATGTCCAAAAAAATAGACGTGACATTGACTTGACCTTGACGGTGCCGCCCAAGGTCAAACCTATAAGACTAGTATATCTTATTAAATCCTATTTTTATTTTACTTTTGTGTAAAACATTTTTCTCAGAAATGCATACTTTCTGAGATATTAGACTGTTTCCAGATTTTTGGTATATTTTTAAATGATCATTACTCGGCTTCTAAGGCGCATTGGCGCGAATGACTTTACAGGTGTTCATTTGATAAGCTCCTCTAACATCGCTGCAAGTTTGATCAAAATCGGTGAAGAGTAGGGCGTAGCCTTTCCTTGTAAGTTGTAAAAACAATTTTCTTATTGTTAATTTAAATTTTAAACAAATTTTTTATTTTTCAATACCGAGTTATTTATTTATATATTATGTATAACCTTGTATCTTTGCATCTTATATATTATACATATACGGCTCATTTTATAATACTTCTGACCTCTATATGATACATACCGATTTTTTTATATTTGTAAACTTTTTCGATTACCTTATTAGTGGATTTATATTTTTGAATATGGTTTTTGAATATTAAAAAAATTTTTTTGTTATGTTCTTAAATATTGAATATTTTTTGCTTCTCTGGTCGAATGAGTGGAATTGCTTTCTTGATCATTTTGTATTAAAAAAAAAATGATAAACTTCTAATTTTTTAAAATCATTTTACAGAATACTGATTGTATTTCAATTCTTTGTTTGTGTCTTTTACCTGACGTTCCAATCATGTGTCAATTAAGCATGAACGATTGAGTAGAAACTCTACTATTTTTGCCATGAGCTAGTTGAATTGTATTATTGTATACTGAAAAGATAGACTAAAGTGAAGCCGAAACGTCTGAAATAAACTTGGTATTTTTGGAAAATATTATTGGGTAGTAATTACTCTGATTAGCTCTTGTTTTAATTATTTTGTTGATAATTTTGAGAGTTATTTACATTAATTTTCCAATTCTAGTGATAAAATGTAAAATAATAAATTAATAAATATAATTTATACAAATTTTGTTCATATTTTACTCTCCATAAACGATGAGTGTGCGGAAATCTTTGAGCAGTAGTATATATATGTATGAAATAAGAGTAAGGAAAAGAGATTGCATAAAAAACTCTTCGTAGAATCATACGATATCTCGCGATATCGCGTGGAGACGTGACGATGTTACATATTGCTGTGGTATCATATTGAACGTTCAGTTAATTGCCACAAGTGACAGCAAAAACTGAGACATTCACATTAACTCAAATACATTCAGAGGTATATAAATATTAATATTACAAATATTAATATTAATTCGTATAAAATTTTAGTATTGATAATAATAATATATAATGCTATGTAATAATAAAATTAACAAAATCATGTTAAAAAGTTTTGTGTTGAAATGTAAAAAAATCCTGTTAATGTTAATATTTGTAATTAATTTATAATATATCTAAATTTTTTTCGATATTTTTTAACGTATTCCATTTTTTTTTAAATTTTTACAAACTACTTATTTATTGATAAAAAAACCAATATATTTCGTCAATAATTAATTTACATAATATTTTATATGAACGATAAAGATAATATTTAAGTATTATTTACATCATTTGTTCATGATTGTTGTATTAAATTTTACATAATTTATAAATTGAAATTAGAAATTAAATTCTCTTGGCGGAGGTAAAACTTTTTACGATAAATTCTTTACAGAATTTAAGATGTATGTGACTAATAAATTTGGAGAGGGGAGATTATTAATATTTTAGATAGATTGTATTGAAAGTCTGATAGTAACGATAATTATATTTCTGAAATAAATTCATTTAAAGAATGTATATGTATTAATTTAATATCTAACTTTAACAATCAAGTTAGGGTTTCTCATATTCAGGTAATATACTCACATAAACGGTTTTGTTTCTAATTTTACCATTGTTAAATAATTTCATCAATAATAATAATAAATTTAATTATTAACAATATAATTATTATTAATTCTAATTCATTAAAAAAATTTTTTAACTGATTCGCGGGTTTAATGTACTTTAAATTAATGTATTTTTACTTGAAGATAATGTAAGATAAAGATAACGTATTGAAGTTTTTTTTCATTTAGAAGGTCACAATCCGGAGAAATAAGTTATGTAACTTATGTAACTTATCAATAATAGGATTAGAGACAAGACCATTAATATAATCTAAAATTTTATAAGGTTATTTCTATAAGAAATATTTTTATAAACAATTTTTTATAACATGATTGAAGAAAATGTTCGTATTTATTAATACCGATTAAGGTTAATTAAATATTATATTATTAATATTTTACTGAAAAAATGAATTTTTTCATAAAAATTAATAGTAAAATGGAATATTGTCTAAAAATCTAAATCTGATTTTTTTTATTGATTTTTGACAGAAATTCTAAATAATGGCAGCAAAAGCAATTCGAGAAGCAACTGGGAAAGATTTGATTAATCGTAAACTTTCTATTGGGACAAAAGCAGTAAAATGTAGATTTATATCTATTACGGAAAACACAAACTGGATTGATATCGTTAATGAACATTCGTGGCTCAAAACAGAAAGATTAGTTGTTAAACCAGATCAATTAATCAAGCGACGAGGAAAACTCGGATTAATTAAAGTAAATGCAGATTTAATTGCAGTACAAAAATGGGTTGAGCAGCATATGAATAAAGAGCAACGCATTGGCAAGGCTATTGGAAAATTAAAAACATTTATAATTGAACCGTTCGTATCACATAAATCGGTAAGATTTCTTGATTATTTTTTTTATATACATTGCTTAAAATTGTTTTAAGACTATCTTAATAAGACCATCTTAATAAAATAATAATACGAATAAAAGTTTTTATTTTATTTATATGTAATTCAGCATGATCAACTTAACAAAAATTCTAAATATTCAATAAAGAGCGTATAATTTTAAATCACAAATTCAAATTAATTTATTAATTCTTAAATGTCAATTAATGAAGACTATTTGATATTTAAGAATTAATAAATTAATTTAAATTTGTGATCTGGAATTATACGCTCTTTATTGACCTATCTTCTATTTATTATTACTTAGTAAATTAGAGCTAGAATTCGAAATTTATTCTGAATATCCTTTATTGTAAATCTTTGAATGCTTTTTACATTATGAAAAAGTAATTTAGGCGATTTTTTTATGTTTTGTAAAAATAGAAAAGAAAAAGTGTCTAATGACGAAGTAAAAAGTAGTGTAAAATATCTGTCTATTTATATGTAAATATATTTAATAGTTGAAGGATGTATTATAAGCATATATCATAACAATACTTAATCTGGAGACACGGTAGTGTTTCGGCGCCAAACGCAGCGACACTGCCGTGACTACTTTATAACAAAATTACCGAAGTTCGATAGTTATAGTCAGATTCGAATAATATGATTAAAGAAAAGTTTTATTACTTTCAAAGTAAAATTTATCGTTTGATTCTCCATTACATATTGATGATATCTGAGCCTTTTCAATAAAAAAAAAAACACAGTCGATATTTATTTGACCTTCAATTTTATCTGTCTTTCGATGACCATGGCTTGTTAAGGCTCTTTTATCAATATTTGATACATTTTGGAAGCTGATTAAATGTAATGTAAAACAGCATTTTTCGGTTAGCAAAAAGATTTCTTGTGAATGTATGATATTTGATAACAGCTCAGGCTATATTGATTACTCGCGCTAATTATAAATAAAGATTTATAATTATATAATAGTGGAATTTTTTAATAAATTTCGAATAAATAATATATTCACATAATAGAATCACTTTTAATTTGAATATTACATAAACATATAGATATTTTATACATGCTTACTTTGAGTCGGGAAATCAACATTTACAAGATTATGTAATAATATATGATTATTATGGACTCTAAATATAATACATATTTACATTTATATTTTAGGAAGAAGAAGTTTATGTTTGTATCTATTCTCATCGTAAAGCTGATACGATACTATTTCATCATCAAGGGGGTATTGATATCGGAGATGTTGATGCTAAAGCTTTAAAGTTAAATATACCAGTTGGTAGTGAAATGCCTGATCGGTCTATATTGATTAATAAACTTTTGACAAATGTGATGGATGATAAAAAAATGTAATAATAATGTTCAATCATTTTAAAGTAAATGGATTTTATAGCTTTTTGTTTGTACTTTTTTATTTTATTTTAGGATGATTGCTGAATTCATAGAATTTCTTTATAAGCTGTATGTCAATTTACATTTTACGTACTTGGAAATCAATCCACTAGTGGTTACGGATAATGCAATTCATATTCTCGATCTTGCGGCTAAATTAGACACTACGGCAGATTTCATATGTAAACCAGATTGGGGAGAAATCGATTACCCGCCGCCATTTGGAAGAGACGCTTATCCGGAGGAAGCCTATATAGCTGATTTAGATGCTAAATCTGGCGCTAGTTTGAAATTGACAATTCTTAATCCAGACGGTCGTATATGGACTATGGTTGCTGGTGGTGGTTAGTAGAGATAGTTACACAAGGTGGGGGTAGGTCTATAGTACAATCGATAATCAGAGACAATTTTTTTTGTACACAAATAAGTAAAAACTGCAGAATAAATTTTTTCCATCCGTTTTATTTACGTCTTATTAGAAAAATTGGTCCATTATGATGAGTATTCTATTACTCTTTGTGAATAACGAAGTACGAATATACAAAATTCATACTGATTTTGATGACAAAAGCAAAGCGTCCTGATAGAAAGATACTTATTATAGTAGGAGGAATTGTTAATTTACAAATGTAGCTGCAATATTTAAAAGCATTGGTTTTTTAAGACAAAATATTAACTTCAAGTTTGTAAACTGCGAATCAAATTTGAATATGCGTGCATTTAATGAAGATATGATTTTGAAAAACACGGTATAAATGTAATTATGGTTATATCCACATGACTTTTAGAGTTGCAGGATTAAAGAGAATGTGACCAATAGTTAAAGTTTATTTCTTTTATGAAAAGAGAAATTACTCATAACAAAGTCCCGATACGAAAAAAGTTTACACTTTCGACTTATTTTTGTACAAGGAATTATTCCTTATCTATTTGTACTGTAGGATTATCCCTATCCTGTATATGCAACCTACTTCTTTGCAATTTGGGTTTTTTTACATAATCAGTTCTTCCCAGTTGTGTCCAAATACTATATTAAAATTACCTTTATAGGTGCTTCTGTGATATATTCAGATACAATTTGTGATTTGGGAGCGGCTGATGAACTGGCCAATTATGGTGAATATTCTGGTGCTCCTAGTGAACAACAAACTTACGAATATGCAAAAACTATACTGAGTTTGATGACAAAAGTAAAGCGTTCTGATGGAAAAGTACTTATTATAGGAGGAGGAATTGCTAATTTTACAAATGTAGCTGCAACATTTAAAGGCATTGTTAAAGCTCTTCAAGAATATCAGTCCAAATTAGTCGAATATGATATAAGAATTTTTGTAAGAAGAGCTGGACCTAATTATCAAGAGGGTTTAAGGTATAAAAGAAAAATTATCATTAATAATAGTATGTCTGTGTAAATGTGTATATAATATTTAAAAAAATATTTTAATAGAATTATACGAGAAGTTGGTAGACGTTTAGGAATTCCCGTTCATGTATTTGGCCCCGAGACACATATGACAGCTATATGTGCTATGGCACTAGGAAAGAAACCAATTCCTGATCCAGAAGCTCAAGAATTTTCAACAGCAAACTTTCTCCTACCATCTGGGCAAGATGTTGGACCACCATGCACAGCATCCAAGAATAACGTACATTCATCAGAGCAGTTTAAATTGAAAACTGTAGACGCAGTAAATTCAGAAACCGATAACAAACAACTTTTTAGTAATAAAACGAAATCTATTATTTGGGGTATGCAAACAAGAGCAGTACAAAGTATGCTGGATTTTGATTTTGTTTGCCGAAGATCCGAGCCATCCGTTGCAGCTATTGTTTATCCTTTTACTGGTGATCACAAACAAAAGTTTTATTGGGGTCATAAAGAGGTGAGATTTTAAATAAATAAATCATAAATATGAAGTCTAATATTAAGAAACATAATAAAAAACAATTTTGTAAAGCTTTAGACAGGTATCCATTTGTGTGCATATAGCTCCATCAAAAATTAGTCAATTTGAAATATCGATTACCGATTTCGAAAGTAGAGATTTCAACCTTTAAAATACTTTTTTGATTTTTTGTCTGCGATGATTTTCCACCGAGTTATGGCGTTCTGAATATTGCGCAATTTTGAGCCTGTTCGAAAGTGTTCTCTATTTTTTGTTGAATAGTATACTCGAAAATATTTCGCTATTAAAAAATATTCAAAATTTGTGCTAACATTACGAGTGGATTCAGACATAAACAAAAAAGCAGAAAGTAAAAAAGCGGCAGCCAATCAGAACTCGCGCAGGTAGACCCTTGTTTCGGCTTTCTGTACCGTTTACTATCAGTGTAAGTTTCGATTAGTTGCTGTTTATCTGTCAAGGTCTGAACCTATTCTGCCTGCACTCACTTTTAGTAACCATTTTTTGCCGGATGGATTAATTTTATTTTCTTTAAATAGGTTCTTATTCCTGTTTATAAACAAATGAAAGACGCTATGGCTAAACATATGGATGCAGATGTAATGGTCACGTTTGCCTCTTTAAGATCTGCTTATGAAAGTACCATGGAAACATTACAATTTCCGCAAATCAGAACGATTGCTATAATCGCGGAAGGTATACCTGAAAATATGACCAGAAAAATGATTCTAGCAGCGCAACGAAGGAATGTTACTATAATTGGACCGGCAACTGTAGGAGGTGTAAAGCCAGGCTGTTTCAAAATCGGTAATACAGGCGGAATGATGGATAATATTTTGCATAGCAAATTGTATAGACCTGGCAGGTAATACTGCACAGCGGATCTTTGTGGATGTAATAACATTTTACAAAATTAATTGAATGACAACAGTAAATTATTTTCAGTGTCGCTTACGTTTCTCGTTCTGGTGGCATGTCAAATGAATTAAATAATATAATCTCCAAAGCTTCTAACGGAGTATTAGAGGGTGTTGCTATCGGTGGAGATCGATATCCAGGAACTACCTTTATGGATCATATAATGCGTTATCAAAACGATCCAGATGTGAAGTTAATCGTATTGCTTGGAGAAGTTGGTGGTATCGAAGAATATGAAGTATGTGAAGCATTGAAAACAGGCAGAATTACAAAGCCTTTGATAGCTTGGTGTATTGGTACCTGTGCTAGTATGTTCAATTCTGAGGTACAATTTGGTCATGCTGGTTCTATCGCAAATTCCAATCTTGAAACGGCTTCTGCAAAAAATTCAGCGTTGAAGGCTGCCAGTGCATATGTTCCAAATAGTTTCGATAACCTTGGTGATCTCATACAAACCGTTTACGAACAATTAGTAAAAGACGGCATAATAGTGCCAGAACCCGAAGTTCCAGTGCCGACAGTACCAATGGATTATGGATGGGCCAGAGTAAATTTTATTTATTTATTGACTTTATCTATTATAGCTCATTTTTACTATTAAGAAGGAAAATCATAATGATGAGTGATATAAAAATAAAATAAATTGTAAATTACACATCGAAGCAATATAATTCATTAAATACTTTTTTTTAACAAAAACGAGTGAAGGACGGAAAACATTCTCGCTAGAATCTAATTATTTCGTCTTGATATACAATTATACAATATAATTTGTTGTATATTGTACTATATATATATATTTACGTGTGTATGCATGGGCGTACGCGCGCGCGCGCACATACACACACACACACACACATTCACGCATCTGTACATGAGTATGTAGAGCAAAATGAGCACTGAGTTAGTTTTGCACATAATAGCTATTTATTAAGATAAATGGAAAATAGATCATTATGTACATAATACTGTTATTGTAATATGTTATGTTGTACAAACAGGAACTTGGTTTAATACGTAAACCTGCATCATTTATGACATCAATTTGTGATGAACGTGGACAGGAATTATTATATGCTGGTATGCCTGTAACTGAGGTTCTGAAGCAAAATGTGGGTATTGGTGGCGTTGTCTCACTTTTATGGTTTCAACGCTGTTTACCCCCAACCTATTGCAAGTTTCTCGAAATGTCACTGATGCTCACAGCTGATCACGGCCCAGCAGTTTCTGGAGCTCACAACACTATTGTTTGCGCACGTGCTGGGAAAGACCTAGTTAGCTCTCTCGTTTCGGGACTTCTAACAATTGTAAGCGAAAATTAAATTATAGTAAACTAGTATGACTTTTCAATACTTCAATGATATATTAATTTATAGGGAGACCGTTTTGGTGGTGCTTTAGATGGTGCAGCTCGTATGTTTTCTGAGGCGTATGATACTGGTTTACATCCACAAGAATTTGTAAATAATACACGTAAAAAAGGAGAACTGATTATGGGTATTGGCCATCGTGTTAAATCAATTAACAATCCAGATATGCGTGTAAAACTTATCAAGGAATTCGTGTTAGAGAATTTTCCAGCAAGACCTTTAGTTGAATATGCTCTAGAAGTTGAAAAAATAACAACTAGTAAAAAGCCTAATTTAATTCTTAATGTGGATGGTATTATTGCTTGCTCCTTTGTCGATATGTTGCGAAACAGTGGCAGTTTTACAAGGGAAGAGGCGCAAGAATATATTGAAATAGGTGCCATAAATAGTTTGTTTGTTCTTGGTCGAAGTATAGGATTTATCGGTATGGTTATACGTGTAAAATTATATACGCATGCATTATACATATTACGTAAAGAAATGTTAGAAATACAATTATTCGTTAACGAGCTCTTTTTTTTCAGGTCATTATATGGATCAAAAAAGATTAAAGCAAGGTCTATATCGTCATCCTTGGGATGATATTTCTTATGTACTACCTGAGCAATATAATTGAATTGTTAGTTAATGATGCTGATACAGTATGTAACGCTTAATATATCTTATCGTTAATCATTCAATTCAAAGACCATCTTAAAAATAAATATATAAGATATAAATAATTAATTGTTTATCATTAATATCGATAAATTGCATTGTTTGACGAAGAATTACTTTTTTTGAACACTAGAATGAGACTAGTAATTGCAAATTTTTTTAAATTCGGACATGATGGAACAATTTGGAAACTGAATTCGTATTTGTCCAAGAAACTGTGGAAATAGTTAGTCTTTTCTGGGGGTTAATTCTATAATTCAAGTGAAATCATTCACTTTTCGCATTTTCATCTCACATGAGTTTGTTTGCGCAATTCTGTAACGACGAAATGAAAATATGAAATTACTAAATTTTCCAATGTGGAGGAAATGTGAAAACGTAAAATGATTAAGCGATTTTCTTCTGAGTCGATCCGAAAGTGTAAAAGGGAGTTTATGCAGAATAATTTGAAAATGAACGTAACAGAAAAGCAAGAACAAATTCTCTTAAATTGAGAACTACTAAGAGACTTTTGCTACTACTAAAGACTTTAATAAAAATTATGTGTACAATCTACGAAATTCATTATCAGAAACCAAAAAAGGATTTGATACATCTCTGAGATTCTCCGAGTAATTCTCATTTCATTGTGTGGTTCAAAAACTTCATCTTCCTCATTATTAAAAAATAAAACAGCCCATATACATTACAGGTTTTTTTCTTTTAGGTATTTGTGCACAACAATATTTAATGGATTTAATCTTAAAATTGTAATCGTATCAACACACTGTCGGATGTCTACGGTTCTTCTACCGCTCTGTCTGTCAGTCTTTCTCTCTCGAATCTCATCTTTCAACAAGAAATTTTTTACCGAACGAATGAGATGGCTCACTTTCATCATGATGAAAGTTACGGAATCGCGCGGACTGCTTACTTTTCGTATTTTCACCACATTTTATTTACAGAATCGATACCTTGGTATTTTTGATATTTATACCGAAGGGAAGCCCCTTCCATGACCTTGACATATGCTGTCATGGTTATGACTCTGAGTGATAATCAAGAGGTTTAAGCTGTCGCTCGTTGTTTGTTAAAAAGTTATTAACAAATTTGAAAAGTTATGTCACATTTCTGCTATACAATATTAAGTGCAATTTTACAATTTTCTACGCGAAGCAAAATCCATTTTATTTCCTCTCCTACTTAAGGGCGTACGACTTTTCAGGTGAAACGATTTCCTTCTCCTCGCCTTCCCGTCTAGAAGCGTAACGATTTTTCTTCTTTCTCAGACTTTGGATTTCCAACTCCTGACAGAGTCACAGTACCATGATTTAATTGAGTTTTACCAGAAGGTAAAGGCCCAAACCGGCCAGTATATATCAATAAATTAGTTTGTGCATTCATAGTACAGAATTATAGAAAGGAAAAAAAGGATTAAGTAGTCAAAGTTCAAATATAATTCATAGCCAGATATCCATTTTTTCTTGGGCAAATATAGCAAAATCAATAATCCTGTTAATTATAATGCGATTTAAATTATTAGGTATATAACTTGAAACCTGCCCTCTAGCGATAAATAGCTGTAGCTTTGATAATCGTCAACTGTAATGACTGAACAAAGGCATCATTTATAGTTTGGACCTTTGTCAATAATATTCAGTATATAAAAGTTTGTGTTTGTGACAACAACATAGTTATTCACTGTGAAGAAGATGTCTGAATTTCAACCAAAAAAGCATCATTTACGTAAAGCTTTGCTTTTCTGTTTTAATTTGAAGAAAACTGCTGCTGAAAATTCACTGCGAAGAAGATGTCTGAATTTCAACCAAAAAAGCATCATTTACGTAAAGCTTTGCTTTTCTGTTTTAATTTGAAGAAAACTGCTGCTGAATCTCATCGAATGCTTGTTGAAGCTTATAAGGAATTTACTCTATCGGAAACAACTTGCAAGGAATGGTTTCGACGATTCAAACTTGGTGATTTTGACACGAATGATAAAGCACGTCATCGATACAGAACTGCAAGCAATGGTGAATGAAGATCCATGTCAAACACAAAATCAACTTGCAGAAACGTTGAATGTTACTCAAGCAGCTATTTCCAAGCGTTTAAAAGCCATGGAAAGGTATACAAGGAAGGAAGATGGGTACTATATGAATTGAAAGAGAGAGACATCAAAAGGCGAAAAACCATCTTCGAAATACTGCTTGCCAGGCAAAAAAGAAAGAGGTTTTTGCATCGAATTGTGACTAGCGATGAAAAGTGGATCTATTTCGATAACCTCAAACGCCGAAAAACCATTTGCGATCCAGACCAACCATCGACATCGATGCCAAAACGGAATATTCATGGGAAGAAGGCTATGCTCTGTATTCCGGTGGGACCAGAAGGGTGTAGTGTACCATGAGCTGTTGAAATCTGGTCAAACAGTCACAGGAGATCTCTACCAACAACAAATAATCCGTTTGAGCCGAGCATTGGGCGAAAAACGACCAGAATATGAGACAAGATAGCATAAAGTGATCTTGCTTCACGACAACGCTCGACCTCACGTCACGAAACTCGTTAAGGAAACGTTAGAAGCACTTCGCTGGGAAGTTTATTCACCAGACTGTGTCCCTTTCGACTACCACTTGTTTCGATCAATGGCACACGCACTTGCAGAGAAACACTTCAATTCTTATGAAAGCGTCGAAAAATGGGTCTCTAACTGGATAGCCTTTAAAGATGAGTCGTTCTTTCGCCGAAGGATCCACCAATTACCAGGAAGATGGAAAAAAGTCATATCTAACAATGGCTAAAACTTTGATTGATAAATTCTTTTTACTTATTTTTTAAATAAAGGCTTAATTTTGGCAAAAAAAAGAGCGAATTTCAAGTTATATACCTAATATTTAGTACATATTCAATAGAGAATGGAACACTTAAATCAACTGAATACAAAAATTTTATAAATTCTATTCTTTTGCCATTCAAAAGTGAACATGCCCAAAATATATAGTTAATATCCTGAGGAGACACATATTGGGTGGATTCATATATTCGTTCGGTTTTAGTAGTGCAAATTTTTTCCGAATATTTCCGATTCTGGTTGCCTAATCGAGCAATCCAAATATGTTTTGGAAAAATGACAATCCGCTCGTTCCATCTGTCAAATTTGGTTTCATTGGCATTAGTTTTATTTGTGCTACAGGCCTGTGAACATGTCGGAGAATAAGGTGCATTTTCGGCATATTTTGCTTTATTACTTCAAGAAAGGCAAGCGAACTGCGGAGGCCCGAAAGATATGCGGCGTATACGGGGACAGAACGTGCCGCTCAGAAATGGTTTGCCAAATTTCGTTCCGGAGATACGAGTCTTGAAGATGGACCCCGCAACGGTTGGCCCACCGAGGTTGATTCGAATGATATCAAAGCACTGGTTGAGCAAGACCGGACGCTAAAGGTGCAAGAGATTGCGGAGGCACTCGGGTGATGTTTCCGAACGCAGCCTTAAAATAGGTTATGGAACCGTTCAAAGGCATTTGCAACAGCTGGGTTACGTGTCCCCCCTCGATATTTGGATGCCGCACAAACTGATCGAGAAGAACCTGGCCAACCGCATATCCATCTGCAATTCACTTCTGAAGCGGCACGAAAGCGACCCGTTTCTCAAACGAATAGTGACTGGCGACGAAAAGTGAATCATCTACGACAACATAGTGCGCAAGAGATCGTGGGGGACCGCTGGCGAGCTGCCGAATGCCACCCCGAAGGCCGGCCTGCATCCGAAGATTTTGCTATTCATATGGTGGGATCATCGTGGTGTGTGCTGTTTTACGAGCTGCCTCAGGGAAAAACGATCGATTCGAAGATCTACTGCACGCAGCTAACGAAATTGAATCAAGCATTGCGACAGAAACGTCCAGAACTGGTCAATCGCAAAGGTGTCATATTCTACCATGACAACGCCAGACTGCAATAATCACTCAGCAAAAATTAGTGCAACTTGGCTGGGATGTTTTGCCTCACCCACCGTATTCACCAGACCTTGCGCCATCCGACTACCACTTGTTCCGGTCCCTGCAAAACTCCCTCAACGGGAAATCGTTCGGTGATCAGACAGCTGTGAAAACGTACCTCGACCGGTTTTTCGCCTATAAGCCCCAGACCTTCTATGAGAGTGGAATAATGAAATTGTTGAAAAGACGGCAAGAGGTTATCAACATAAACGGAGAATATATCATTGATTAAAATTCATTCTTTGTATGGAAAAAACTTGTTTCATTTTAGCCTTCAAAAACCGAACGAATATACTATCCACTCAATACTAGAAATCCCAATGTGAGCTGGACACCAGTAAAATGTAATAGTTCCATTTCTCGATGTGAAAAAAGATACTCTGCTGAAAACATTTCTTATTTCAAGGTTCAGTTTGTTTAAGGAGGATCTCCCCTTCTGCACGGGCTACGAGAGTCTATGCATATTTTGTGTCAGACCAATCATTGCTCTGGGCATATTCAATGGCTTTATCAATTGTCTTCTCTGCTGAGAAGGAGCTCAAAAACGATTCAATTTAAATTTATTAATTTAAATTTAGTAATAATATTCCCTTTTTAGAATCACACAAATGAGCAACCCACTGCATAATCATTATTCATGCAAGATCTTGAACCATCAGTAAATATTATATTGTCTTATGTACCCGATTCCAACAGGCAGCTCATATGTAGGTTAAGTCAGGGTCAGGAGAAAGGTCAGAAATCATGCCAGATTTGTAATCAAATTTTTATGCTAGAGTTCGAGGATCTACATGAATGAGAAAAAGAAGGATGTATATCCTACTTATACATATCATCGCTATAGTCTCTAATAACTTGCTATCTATATTTAGAATAAAAGGAATCTTTATAGGGACAATCTTTTTAATATTACAAAGGTTATAGAAATTTCTTATTTTATTCATGATTCTGCTGTTTTTTAATTGAATTGATTTATAATTTATATTTATCACACTTAACTGTTACTATCCTATCAAATGATCATTGATTTGCATAAATCCACGTAACTCTGTTAGATGCATGTCTCGGTAGGTTAATGGCTATTTTATAAGAGGAACATGGAGAAAGAGAGAGAGAGAGCACTCTTTCGATAATTTTGGTATGAAGTTTCACCACACTCCAATACCATAAAGAACCCCATTCTAGTTGGGTTCTAATGGTAGAATTTACAAAATTTATTCCTTCTTGAGTACCAATGCCCTAGTTCCTTCCACAAAGCCATTTCAAAATGTCGATCATTTTAGAACATCTACTTTTCAAATTTTGAATGTAGTTTTCCCAACGAAGACCGGTATCCAAGGTCAATCCCAAATATTTGACCGAATTCTCAATATTAATAGAATTCGTGTTTACCTGAACTTTCGAAAGGATCTGAATCTTATTAGATCGATGAAATATAAGTTTTGGCTAACTTCCAACGATTTTTTATGTAAATGGATCTTGCTTCATGTGAAAAGTGTAATTACATGAGCAGGACATGGTATAGGATAGATTTTAATATTATATATAGCGCAGAAATAAGAAGGTTATTTTTCAAATCTTTTTGTGTTAATATTTTACTTTTTAACAAATAATAAGCGATGGCAAAAACCTGTTGGAGGTCACTCAGGGTCATGATCTCGACAACATATGTCAAGGTCGTCGAGACAGACTCTTCTATTCGGTATATTTATAGTGCCTTTTTTTTGTTGAACAATGTTATCAATTCAAATTGATATATGTGAAACTGGACTATGAATTACATTATATTATATACATATGTGTATGTATATATATACATACTAAATTCTACATTTTTATTTTTTAAAAAATAATAACATTAGGAGAAGACTTGACAATTATAAATAAATATTAAAATAATTTAATATTTATTCGGCTCTCTCTCTCGTTGCCCGTTAAATTATTTTAATATTTATTTATTTTTTAAGACACAAATTTATTAATTTTAAATTTTAACTATTGTAACACTGATTAATCATTTATAGTTCAAAAATTTTAGAATGCACATTACGGAACGATATTATTTTATATATATATGATATATAATATGCAAAAGTTTAGTAATTTTGGAGGGGACGTGAGATGATATTATTGGTTTGAACTTGGGTGGCGTTGTCAAGGTTAGAGCACGATCACATAGAATTTTTTGAATAAGAGTTTCCATTTTTATTGCATATTTTCATAGATTATCTTAAGAGCTTTTCAAAACATTGTATAATAGAATATTTTTTCATTAAGGGGTTAGACCTCTCCTGAGGTTCTAAAGTAATACCTAAATTTAGGAATTTTTTTTGAGTAAATAAATAACTATGATCAAAAACTGTTTGAAGGACTTTAATGTACATATATAACAAACTAAACAAATATTTTTTTATTAGCCTTATGTCTAAAATAGTGGCACATTGACCCACTCGCTGAATCCTTTTTTTCTACAGCTTCAAATCTATGCAGGATTTCACGCACACGGTTTGACTCTGAATAAAATACAAAGAATTTTCATTATCTACATGTCAAAAACTAAAGAAGTACGTAAGAATTCCTTAAAATATTTTCAAGCTTAAAAACTCAAAAAGTACTTAACAACAAATATTTTATTATGTTGTAATGTTCTGAAAAGCTCTCGAGATAAACTATGAGAATATATAATAAAAAATAGGGAATCTCGTTTAAAAAATTCTATGTGATCGATCTTGACAACGCCACCCAAACTCAAACCAATCATCTCATACCTCCCTCAAAGTCATAAAACTTTCATATGAAACGTTTTTCTCTAAAATGCTTTGTTTTCGAGACAAAAGTTTATAACACTTAATTTTAAACACCCAGTATAACTATATATAATTATATCATGGAAGTAGGAATACCAGGAAAAAAGCATAACACTAAGGGGGAAAGCCTAAATGGTGAGGGAAATGAAGTTTATTGTAACAGAGAATGATGTTTGTTGCGACGGATGTTGACCAATGGCACAACAGATAATTTCACAGAATGTAATTTATTTAATATTCACTAATCGATTCATTCCGTTAATTATTTCATCGGTTGATTGTTTCACCATATGGTTACATCCCAAAAATATTCACATCCACTTTAATTAAAATTGGCAATCTATAGCGGCCATACCGCTTGATTCTCCCCCCGCATCATCAAATAATACGTTGTGCTCTCTTCTATTCCTACCTCCATAAATTACATATATACATAACTATAGTCTCGTAATTAAATGTAGACAAATAAATTTTTTTAAATGCCTATCGAACACATTCCATTAATATGTATTTTCGTTTAAAAGACGGAAATTAAAATATTTTATGATTTATTCTAATTAGCTAATATTTAAATCGAAAGTAAAATATTGCTATTATTATTAATCATAATTACTTATTATTAATTACATAAGTTATGATTATGTACTAAACCTATGCACAAATCTAATTATATAGATTTTAAAAAAGTAGAAAATATATATTTATTAATACTGCTTACGATTTTGTTTAATATTTCCCGATTACATATTTTATATATTTTTAATAGATATATATGAAAAGAGCACAGATGAAAGAATATTGAAGAACATAGAATAGTAGTTCAGTAGAACCTCTTTATAGTCCACCTCTTTATAGTCACACCTCCCAATAGTCCACAGTCGACCTCCGTATAAGCACACGTTTATAACCCACGTAACGCGTTTCCATAACTGCTTGCGCAGTAAATAATGCGCAGTTGTCTACTTAGACGCACTCAGGGTCGTATTTTTAGCGCTCAATTGTAACCTTTGGGGATAGTCCATCTCTTATATATTATTTTGCATAATTGTTAGTTGCTTAATTATTTTTAAGTGTAAACATGAATCAAAAGAGGAAGAATAACAATAAACAAGCAATAAATAATTGAGGAGATTGCTTCTGGATCAAAAATTAAAGATGTGGCAGGAAAATATGATATCTCGTCAAGTTGTATGTCAAAAGCTTTCTTACTAAAGTAAGAAATCTTGTGTTAGTCACATATCAACAAAATAAATAATTATCAAAACATTTCTCTCAGTAAGTGCTACATATGTGTTTAAGAAAGCTACTTACGGTCCTGCTTTGGGGGGGAGTTAAGATAACTTCTTTATTGTTACATTTGATCCCGAGCGTGTGACTATAAAGAGGTCCTACTGTATGTTGGTACTATAAAATGTCAAAAAAAACCACTCCTTTCCTATCATCAGAGGTATGATCAGACGAAAGCTGCATTCCACTTAACACTCGCAACGTCGTTTTAGAAGACGAGATAGAAGGACGGAGTAGCTGTGGATGTGAGGATATTGTTAAATACTTGAACGTGAAAAAATGGAGGCGCTGTGCGATGGACTGCGATGGCTGAAGGACCGAACTGGAAGCCTTGACTCGATTTGAGTTATAGCGCCATTGGATTGGATTAGATTGAATATATAAAACTGCATATACTATTAAAATATTGTTTTTTACTTATGTTACTTCTACATTAAATAATTATATTGTAATCATTCATCATAGAATACAAAGATCTTTGAGTCTTGTGTTTTAAAAAATTTTATAAATGACGCTTCATTCTTCTCATTACTATTTTCATTCTTGTTTTTTGATATAATTATTTGAAATATTTTTTTTATATTTTTTTCTATGTTGCGTTTTTTAATGTATTGGTACCTTTTATACTATTTATAAACAGTATATAACTTTATACACAATTGCATCCATTTTACATATGCTTTCTTATAAATATATAATTCAGTGTTACATATTTTCTTATACATGTAGTCTAGTCATTGCAATATCTTACGTCATAATATATCATGTGACTATGCTTTCAATTTGGCGATAGTATCGTGTACACTCTCTATTACACTATAAATATACGGACGTTCCATTGGATTGACTTTTAACATTGACAAAATTAA